AATGGAGGAAGCACCCGTGTGTAACACTCCCTTCAGCACCCTTTCTGAGTTTACATTCTAGTCCTCCACTATGAGTCTTATTGCTCTGCCAGGAAGCTCCTGGCCACCATACCTTGTGATGTCTCCAAATTTCTTTCTCTACCTTTCCTTCTTCAGTGCACTGTTTCCCCAACTTTTAGTCTTTTTCACCCTACGACATAGACCCATGCATCTATGCAGGCTTTTCTCATCCCTGGGCCTATCTCTAGTCCCCCAAACTCTGGGCCCAGGGCCTGGACTCCTGCTCCTTGGAGAGGAGGGCTGAGCACAGGAGGCACAGAGAGCGTTGGACCTGCTCAAATGGCACAGATGTTGGAGTCACACAGGCATGGATTCAAATCCCCTGTCTGCCTTTTACTGGCTTTATGAACTTGGTCATGTTCCTTAGTCTCGCTCATCTTTAATTTGTTGATGATAATGTCATATTATAAAAACCAGGTAAAGTACATAAAGCAACCACTATGCACCAGGTGCTTAGCAAATGTGAATTTTTTCCTCTGCTGTTAGTCATCTGCCTGTAGCTACAGTTAAATTTAACTAGTAAGCCTGGAGTGTTGGGGAAAGATGACTCGTGTGTATATTGCTCTTGTTAAGCATTTGGGGCCTAGCATTCCTAAACTGGAGCAGGAGGTGGGGCAAAGAGTTGGAGAGGCAGTATATATAACCAATGAACCATGCATCCCAGCTGAACACTATTTCTTCTGCCAAGGGAAACTACCAGGGGAAATAGTTAGTGGCCAGAGCCTTTCCACAGACTATAAACATTTTACTAAGAGAAAGGGAAAAATGTTATTTTAAAGCTCAATGAATTTTTAGCTGGTTGCCCTAGAAGAATGTCAGGGTTCCAGGGAAGACAACTGTTTTTTTGCTTTAGGACCACACATGATGGGTAACAAGAGGTGGGGCTGTCCCCTGCTGGACATAGTGGGAAAGGCGGAGAATGAAGAAAGACTGTCATAGAATAAGAATTTGAGAACTCTCCCCTGATGTGCTGGAGGAAGTGATGGTTGGGTGGGGCATCTGGATGGGCACAGAGGGGGCCCAGGCATTACGTTAGGTGGGTGGGAATTGAGAATTCAGTCAGAGCAGGAATTCAGAATTACAGGAGACAAAATCTCTCTTTTACCCCATGCTAGTCATTCTTAAAAATTTGGGGGGCTTGCTTGGTGGTGTAGTGGTTAAGTTCCCATGCTCCAACAGCCCAGGGTTCACAGGTTCAGGTGCCGGGTGTGGATCTACACACCACTCATCAAGCCATGCTTTGGCAGTGTCCCACATACAAAATAGAGGAAGACTGGCACAGATGTTAACTCAGGGACAATCTTCCTCAAGCAAAAAGAGGAAGATTGGCAACAGATGTTAGCTCAGGGCCAATATTCCTCACCAAAAAAAAAAAAAAATTGGGGGGATGAGTGCTAGGTTTTCTGTTATTTGTGATGAGTGTCTGAGCCATTTGGGAAAAGATGACCCCAGAAGGCTGGAGGAATTGGGGGTGTCTGAGTTGCCTGTGAAAAGTTGAGTAACATCATCTCCATGTGCTGGGAGCCTAAAGAAATGAGTCCGGCAGGCTGGCCCTGGAGTGTTTCATTTCATTGTTGTCCATGGGAGGAGAAACTTGGGCTGAACTTTGCCACATGTGTAGGAGTTGGGTAGGGGTTTGGCAGATCTTTAAAGTCTTACAATGACTCAGACCCTAAAAATCAAACTTAGCTTCTTGTTGGTCTAAAATTGCCTGTTTGCACGAAAGGTTTCTTTGGACACTGCTGACCATCTCCTCCTCCTGCAAATTTGGAAATTTCTCTTTTAAGAAGCTACTACTCACTCCTCCTGCCTTTCTGACTGCACCTGCTGCTCCTTCTTCCCTGGCCCCTCTTCCTGCAGCTTGAAAGTAGGGCCACTCCTCCTCCTGGGAGCCTTCCCTGGTCTGGCTCCTCATTCAGGTCATTCCCAAAGTTGTGCTTCTTCCCTGAGGGGAAGGACTCTCAAGATGACAGCTCTAGCTCCCGAATTCTGGATGCCCATGTCCACATGGATGTCCCGAGCACCTGAAACTCATGGTGTACCAGACCAATGAGATGATCTCCCCCGCTCTCGTCTGTTGAGACTTCTGATTGGCTGATGGTATGACCATGCGTCCAGCCAGCGGGGCTAGATCCTTCACAGTGACAGGTAACTCCTGTCCCAACTCGTCACCTGTGTGATGAGCACCATCTGCTCTCCCACATTGCACTGCAGACAGGGTGGGCTTTCAGAGGGACTGTAATTCACCCCTCTGTATTTTTGCTTTGGTGTTAACCATTCCTCATCTCTGACTGTCCAAATCTTAGGGCCAGATGAAATGTTTCTACCCATGAAGTTTCCCCTGCTTCCCCAGCCCACATATAGCCCCCTCTCTTGTGGACTCAATGCCATTTTATCAGCACATTCTCATGTTCCAGAGCATTCTTTTCTTGTGTTGCACTTACTGACATCTGTGTAACATTTCTCCATCTACACTGTGACTCATTGTCAGCGAGATGTTTATCTGATCCATCCCTTCAACCCCCTCAAGAACTTGTACATATTGGGCTCAATAAATGGGTTTTGTGGCCATTAATACACTATATGCATCCTTGCTTGTCTCCCCAGCTGCTGGATAAGTTTCTTGAGGACTGGACTAAGCATGATTCAGCTTGTGTCCACTATAGCAGCTGAGCACTGTGCCTGGCACAACCTAAGTGTATAATAAATGCTGAATAGAATGGGTGAAGGTAACCCTAATAATTATTTAGTATTTATTGTACCTTGAATAACTCGAACATTAAACGTTTTGGATAAAGCAAATGACCCTAAAAGAGAAACTGAGAAGAAATGGATGGAGATAGAGGAAGGAATCTAGGAGAATGTGGTGTGACAGGAAAGGGAAGAATTTAGATGGAGAGAGGGATCAAATAAGAAGACAACTGGTTTAGCAGGATGGAGGTCTTTGGGGAGCTGTGGAAAACCATTTTTCTTTGGGAGGAAAGGAATGGAAGTTGGATTGGATGCACTGAGGAGGAGGAGATGTAGAAATGGAGAAAAAGAGTGTTGACAATTTTTCAGAAACTTTGCCTGTAGAGAGGAGAAGTTATAGGGAGGAAAAGAGATGTGTAAGTGTGATCCAGAGAGGATTTTCTTTTACAATGGGATGTACACTACATGAGTATGTTTAAAAGCAGATAGAGTGAGAAAGACCTTCCCAACCAACATGTAAAACCCTGAATAAGAACTAAGAATCTTAATCACATAAAAATTAATTATTTTGCATGATAAATGCAGGTGAAACATGGGGAAAGAACACTTGCAACAAACGTAACAGGTGCAACACATAATTCGGGCTCTCACAAACTGAAGTGCAAAATATGTATTTTTTCATAACTGCACTCAACTTGCTCCTCAGCCCTTATTTCTATCTGTAATAGAAGACAATCACACCAAAAAACAAAAAATTTAAAATATCCCCTCAGAGTAACTTAGTTGTTTTTAATGTATTCATCCTTACAAACCTAGGTCATATTTTCTGTCTTCAAAGAATCCATTCCTTCTCTGTGCTTTCCTTGAACTTGGTACATACTTCCATTGGTGGACATCCTGCTGTTTTGTAATCACATACTGCACATCTGTGTCTCCAACTTGACCTTGAGTTTACTGAGAGCAGGGACATTCTCAGCGTCCAGCATATGTCCATCACCCATGTATATTTGTTGACTCTTGTTGATTAATAGTCATTTAAGCCCCAGGAGCTTCAGTGTTTTGGAGTGTTAGGCAGGACTATTTCTGCATTTGTCACATTCCTAGAAAGGATGTTGGAGTAATTAAGTTTTTTAATCCCTTTTGGAATTTTTTCAAGACTCAAATTCTCTTTAGTCCCTTCTGCCTCTCTTCCTCCTCCTTTTTTTTTTTTTTTTTTTTGAGGAAGATCAGCCCTGAGCTAACATCCATGCTAATCCTCCTCTTTTTGCTGAGGAAGACCAGCTCTGAGCTAACATCTATTGCCAATCCTCCTCCTTTTTTTTCCCTAAAGCCCCAGTAGACAGTTGTGTGTCATAATTGCACATCCTTCTAGTTGCTGTATGTGGGACACGGCCTCAGCATGGCCGGAGAAGCAGTGCGTCGGTGCACGCCCGGGATCCGAACCCCGGGCCGCCAGTACCAGAGTGCGTGCAATTAACCACTAAGCCATGGGGCTGGCCCTTCCCCCTCCTTTTTAACTGAGGTAAAGAGTAAAATCCACAAAAATTAAGTGTACAGCTCACTAAATTTTTATATATGCACACATCTGTGTAATCACTTCTCAGATCAAGATCCAGAACATTCTCAGCCCCTAGCAGGCTCCCTCATGCCCCTTCTTAGTCAGAGCCCACCTTCTCCAAACATAATTAGGTTCTGATTTCTTGTGCTATAGATTAGATTACTTTTGCCTGTTTTTGAACCTCGTATAAATTGAATCATACAGCTCGTATTCCTTTGCACTGGCTTCTTTTGTTCAACATTATGTTTGTGAGAGTCAAACATATTGTTGTGTGTATCAGTAGTTTGTTCTTTTTCGTTGTTGTGTAGTATTTTTTTGTATGAATAGTGATTATGGTTTTAATAACAATATATTCTTTTGCTTTTTAGAGAAAAAGCCTTTCCTAAATCTATAATATTATTTTGCCAGGGATAAGTTTGGTTTCGTAATATTTTTCCTATTCTAAACGGGTCACTAAAACATAAGAGAAAAAAGAGTTAATTTTCAGAAAATATGATTAAAAATACACAAATAAAAATTAATAAACACTTAATTTAGTTCTTTTCAATTGAGTTGGGCAGGAAATTGATCTTCCAAATTCAGGATTTAGGACAACCCTGAATGTTGGCTTGGACTATGGGAATAGCCGGGAATGGGTTCCTTGAGTAGAAAGCTCCCTCGCCTGATGTGCTGTTTTATGGATGATTTCCAGTGAGATGAGTCAGAAAACGGCTAAGGAGGGTCCCAGACTCTCCAAGAACCAAAAGTTTTCCGAGCACTTCGTCATACGTTGCTGCCCACCATTCACCTTCCTCAACTCCAAACGTGAGATTGTGGATCGGAAATACAGCATCTGTAGAAGTGGCTGCTTTTACCAGAAGAAAGAAGAGGACTGGATCTGCTGTGCCTGCCAGAAGACCAGGTAAGTGGTCTGCACTGCCCACTCAGCACGGGGCTGGGTGTTGGCCTGTTATCTCTCAGCTCCAAGCCCTGGCTTCCTACTCTGTGATGCTGGGGCTGGGGCTCTGCAAACTGCTCTTCTCCCCAAGCCCCTAGCAGTCAGCTCCCCATTAGGTTCTGCTGTTGGAAGGTACTGGAGGGAGATTGGAAGGTGGGAGGGGGAGCAGGGCCTGCCTTCCTGTTTCCAGCTCCTGTCAGCATCCCTTAAGCAGCAAAGGAGAGCCATGGCTCCAGCCTCCAGCTTCTTTTGGCCCTCTCAGCACCAGCCGCCGTGCAACGTCCCCTCAGAAGCCCAAGAAACAGCCAGCTGCACCCCCCGCCGTGGTCAAAGCACCAGCCAAGCCACGGTCCCCTCCGAGGTCTGAGCGTCAGCCACGCCCCCGCCCAGAGGTCCGAACACCACCAGCCAAGCAGCGCCCCCCTCAGAAGCCCAAGCAGCAGCCGCGCAGCAGCCCCCAGAGAGGGCCAGGCACCAGCCGTGGGGGGTCTCCCGTCAAAGCTTCTAGGTTCTGGTAACACCATCTCTTCCCTTTTGTTCCCCCAGCCCTAAGGTTAGTAGCTGCTTCCTGTGTTTACTAACATCTGGGTTATCTCAATGGCCCTCCTTCTGCCTTACCAAACCTGTGTAATCAATTCCCTGCATTAAATCCCCTCGTTTGAAATACCTAGTGTGGCTTCTGATTTCCTCATAGTTGCTGTTGGTATAATATTTCAGATGGCACTATCCATTGATTCCTTTGTCTAGTAGGACTGGAAGTGATTAATGTATCAATTCAGAGTATGGACCACAATAATAGATTGAATAAATGAGGCCCTCCCTCGATTCCCATGCCTCAGAGAGTGGAGGAACAATGACTCTAAGGAATATCTGTATACATGTAAAAGGAGAAGTTCAGCCAGTTTATCCATCCATCTTCCCAACACACTTCATCTGATGTTAATCTCAGTGGCAAGATCATTCATTCATTTGCTCATTCAGTCATTCAGCAAACTTCATCGCATACCTATAGAGTTCCACATACCACACTAGGGGTTGGGAATATGGCAAGGAACAAGCCAGGATTTTTGTGATTCATGAGCACCAAACAACAGAATAGTTGATCACAACGTAGGGTGTAAAGCCTCTAATATTGTCATAATCACTGACAATAATATTGTCAGCCCACACTGGGCTATGGGACCCTGGAGCTGGGCTCTTTCTCAGGAGTTGGGGGCTTCAGTGAGGAGGTTAGGCTAGAATAAGTAGAGGATAAATGGAGGATGATCTATGTAGAGAGAAAAAGTGAGCCAGAGAGGCACATGTTCATCTGCTCCATCTTAGGCAGGTCAGCTTTTCCTTTTCTTTTTTTAGCAGGCTTCATTTTTTAGAGCAGTTCTAGGTCCACAGCAAAATTGAGCAGAAGGTACAGAGGCGTCCATATACTCCCTGCCCACACACATGGCAGGCCAGCTTTTTAGTCCTTTTAATATTTGGAAATGAACCTGTTTTATAAGTTAATAATGGGTGTTAATTGTATTTGAGGTTCTCATATCTGCTTTGATGCACAGCACCTGCATAGAACATTACTGTGTGTATGTTTAGTGTGTAAACAGCCTGTGTGTATGTCACATGATGTTTACAAATTTAGTATGCAGAAGGATCAGCTGGGGAGAATGTTAAAGATGCCACCAGAGAATCTAATTCCCCGGATCACTAGTGAGGTCTGGGGATCTGCATTTTCGACAAGCACTGCCCCTCCCCCAGCTTAGTGACACAGGTGGTGCACAGACCACACTTTAAGAAACACTGACCTACATCCATAAATAAATGGTCCACATTATATGGGATACATAGTAAAGAAATGTGGAAACTGCTACATTTATGGTATTAAAAGAGAAAGCCTTTAAGAGTGCAAGATCAGGTGAGGTTAATTTGTGAAGGGAGTAACAGGCTACCAGTCACTAAAACTGTAATAGGAAGTTGCCAGGTTACCTAGTCATTAAGTGAGGCCTGCCTAAGGGGCCTGAGTGAAAGGGTCTAGGACAGGTAAGTTTTGATATATGGAAGTGGTTAGGAAATGTGCGGAGCCGAGGGAATTAATTGTACAAAGCATGTCATCTATGGTGGCGGCTTCAAGCCACCGCCAACGGTGAGTTGCGTGCTGGCTGTTTGGGTGGCTGGAGTTCAAGCAGGACATGGAAAGGAGATGGAAGACAATGAAAGCAAACTTCATCTGAGCTACAGATTTGTCTGGACCCAGCCTTGCTGGTTTTATTCACCTAAACTCAAGAGACAACCTAGTGTTGGTGTATTTTGACTCCCTCAGTTAACTGTTCTCAGTGGGTATCAGAGGAGCTACCTCCACAGGCTGTCATTGCCTCCTCAGCCATTGTCCTTTACCTGGGACCAGGGGATCTGACAGGCTCCATTCATAATGTCCCACAACCTCGTGGATGCACCATCTGAGCCCTTCTATGATGCTCACTTTTCCTGCTCAGATTTCCAAAGGTCCTAAGGGAATGCATCAGAGCCACTGCTTCACCGTATTGTCTATCCCCTCTCTTGATACTGATGGATTATCCTCAATCAAAGGGGTGGGAGGAAGGTTAATGGGAAAAAATTCACGCTTAAGCAAAGCTTCTAAATTGCACATGAAGAAAGTGTCAGAAAAGGTTTTCTGAAGCAGGCTTGCTTTCCGAAATAGTGCCATTCCTGAGGTCTGACCTTTAGAGGTCAAACACTTTTGACAAAGGCCTTTTGGGTTCTTAGTCATCCCTTTGGATAGATCTTCTCAATAATTCCAAGAATATTTATATCTTAGGGTCCAACTGATATGATTCCCTGCATCCTAATTGAACATGGAGCATTCTCGTATTTGATGAGAGGAAACCCTGGCATCTCCCTCTTGGTTTATACTATTCTCTCAGTTCCTCAAGAATTTAGGATTTCATAGGTCAGCCTTGCCTTTAGGGGTAACGTGTTTCCTGGGCTGAGCTACTTTTCGCTCCTCAGTGCTCCACTTTTGGGAGCTGGGGACCTGTGGTTTTCTGAAAACCACTGTGGCTGTGAGTGACTGATTTGGGGTCAGTCACACATATTTGGGCAGTGCCGTGTGTGCCTTTGACTCATTCTTTCACAGCAAGTCCTGTTGCACCAAATCAAGCCCTGTACCGCAGAAGCCTGGAGGACCAATTTATTTCCATGTGTATTTTCAAGCCTATTCATCAAGACTACGTGCACAGCACTGCACCAAGCTCTGGGCATTCAAGGGAAATGATGCACGCCCCTGGTCCAGCTGCTCAGATGGTATTTATGAGGGGCCCATCCCACGGGGATTCTGCTGTTCCCTCCAGGAACAACCCTGAGCTCGGCTGCCTCCACCCTCAGCCCACATTCAGCGGCCCCACCTCACGGATCCCTCTCCTTCTCCAGCCTCTTCTTTATTCCCTTGTCACACTTCAGCAGATAATAAAATCAAAGCCCAGGAACGATAACCGATTGTTAGAGGGTAAATGTTCTAAGTGGCTTCAGGTTCTCCACAGAATTTGGTCTTTTGGAGACAGAGGATGCTCTAGTTTTGAGTCTCAGATTGAAGCAAGCCAGGTTTGGTGTTTTATGGACCACCTACCATCCTGGACTAGCCACGGCAGTGCGTTGCTTCTAAAGTTTAGGACAAGCACACCAACTGAATGGCTACATGCTGGTTACATTGGTAGTAGAGTAGAAAGCACCCCACTTGCCCTTGTAGCTGTAGAAGAAGATTCATATTAGTATATTGTTTTGGGTTTGCTTGGAGTTATCAGGACTGCCAAAGGACAATGCAAAGTAAACACTTATATAGCTGACAAGCTAGAATTTACTTCAGAAATGTGTGGACCTGTGAGCACTTACTGTGAGGGATTTGAGACAGTGCACTGACAGAACCGGGTATCAGGGCCAGCTGCCTAAGGTCTAGGCTGTTAGACAGAGGTAGGCTGCCTGCTTATCAGGCGTGCAGACCCAAACTTATTCCAGACACTTTCTATGACATGACTTGTCTTCCCTTGTCCTTCCTGATGCTAAGAGGTACACTCTGCATTTTCTCCTTCCAGAAACCATGGAGCATTCTGTCTGTGTGCAGGATTGGGTAAATCAGCCATTCCAATCCCTTTTCTGAGCACACCCCTCTATCTCCCCAGGCAACAATCACTGACTCTGTAGTCATGTCTTAGAAAGAACTTCTTTCTTAATATGTTTGTGGAAAAATTTCATCCAGGCACATATTATGCTTAATTTTACCCCAGTGGTTATGCCCCTGCAATCTATTTTTGGCCTTGCCAGCCAAACAAAATCAGGAATTCACCTATCATTTTCCAGGTAACAGCAGTTAGGAAAAGGGCCCGAGCTCTTTTTGCTCTCAGATCAGGCTCTTGCCCTGCCTGCCTCTCGGATTGCATTACTGCTTTTGTGAGTTTGGGTGACCAAACTCTTGAATCTTGCTCTACCTAAGTCATAAATTCCTGCCCATTGGGAGCAGGCCTTTACACATCATGGTGGCCCCTATAGCACAATGCCTATGCAGAACAGGCACTTACGCGGAGGCCTGAGTGTGCTGGAGAGGCCTCTAGTTCTGTGAGCTGTGTGTGTTCTCTCAGTCCGACAGCTCCACCCTGGCCACAAGTCCTCAGTCTAGACCACACAGTGACCACTCTCTCTAATATCCTTAATCCTGTTGTCGCCCATCCTCCTGCTACACTCATCCCATAAATCCCTGCCCTAGATCAAGCTGATGACTCACTTGCACTGCTGCAGCTTCCCAACTGCTGAGCCCAGTCATGGATGCTGAGCATGGCTTGGAAAAGCCCTCTAGCCTTAACGGTTGGTGACCACAAATGAATGCGCCCCAGCCCCTCTCCAGAACAGCTTGTCTCCACCCACCCCCACCCATTTGTCAGGATGTGAGTCTCTCTAAATCCTCAGCCCTCAGCCTCAGAGGATGAAGGAATTTTTCCTGATCAGTCAACCCCATCCCCCACTGCTCACCCCATGCTCTTCCTCCCTCTGCTCCTGTCTCCTCTAGGGTCTTGCTGCAGAATGTATTCACTTCTCCAACAGCTTCAGCATTTTTCTACTGTCTAAAAGAAATTATCTTTTTCTACTGTCTAAATAGAAATTCTCTAAAGAGAAAGCTCTATAGCTTTTTACACATGTTCCGCTGTCTCTTAGTGACTGTGCATTCACCTGTGGCCCTGTCCTATCTCTTTTCTTCCCTTCTCAGGCAAAATTTAAAAAGGATAGTGTAAACTCATCACCTTTACTTCCCCAAACCCCATTTACTCTTCTGACCATGCTCTGATTCTCCCATAGCACCTCACTGGAATTTCTCCCATGCAGGTTCCCCCAGAAGCAACAATGCAAGGGCAAGCAGTCTATTTGGGAGGTGAAGGGAATGCTGCAGGGATGGGGGAAGTGAGACAGGAAGGGAAGCAGCCCACAAAAAGTGCATTATCAATTCAGCTCATACCATGGGCTTCTGGGGCTTAATCTTGCAGGGAACCGTGGGAACCAGTGTAGGACGTGCACCTCAGAGCTATTCCATCCATGGGGTGAAGGAGCTGGGGCATTTATACACCAGTTCCTGTCAGTCAGTGGTCAACCAATGCTGCTTTGAAGGTGGGGGCATTAATTCCTCGACACTTCTGGCCTGCCAAGTGGATGGTAAAGTGGGCTGTGGCAGCAGAAAAAAGCCCACAGGCAAGGAAAGTTATCTGGAAGTTGGACCAGTGTGCACAGAAGTGTAAGGGTGAGGGGCCATACACAAGGCACCAACAGCATCTGCTCTAACAGCTTGGTCTATGGCCTTCGTGTTGCTTTGCCTAATGAGTGCTGAATCCAGTCTTGATGTCAGTGGTGCTGTCTATTGAACTTCTTGACCACTCCCTCACTCAGTTGTTAAATTCTCTGTTCTCCTGGCTTCCATGACCCTCCTCTTTCCTAATTCCCTGCATGAACTTTCTCAGTCTCCTTCATGAGTCCTTCCTTTTCTGCCAATTGCTTTCATAGATCATGCTTTTTTTTTTTTTTGTGAGGAAGATGCGCCCTGAGCTAACATCCATGCCCATCTTCCTCTTTTTGCTGAGGAAGACTGGCCCTGAGCTAACATCTATGGCCATTCCTCCTCCTTTTTCTTCCCCCCAAAGCCCCAGTAGATAGTTGCATGTTATAGTTGCATGTCCTGCTAGTTGCTGTACGTGGGACGCCGCCACAGCATGGCCCAATAAGCAGTGTGTCGGTGCGCGCCCGGGATCCGAACCTGGGCCGCCAGTAGCGGAGCGTGAGCACTTAACCGCTAAGCCATGGGGCTGGCCCCGATCACATGCTTTTTGTATTGCATGTAAGAATTCTTGGCCTAATCCAAGGTCAAAAAAATTTTCTCCTGTTTTCTTCCAGAAATTTAAAATTTGAGGTTTTACATTTACATTGTTATCCATTTTAAGTTAAATTTTTCTAAATAGTGTGAGGTATGGATTGAGGTTAAATTTTTTTGCATATGCATATTTACTTGTTCCAGCATTATTTGTTGAAAAGATTCTTCACTGACTTACTTTTGCAATTTTGTTGAAAATCAGTTGACCACAATGTGTGAGTTTATTTCTGGACTTTTTATTCTGTCTTGTTAATTTATATGTCTTTCCTTTATAATAATACGTTATATATATAACGCATATAACTCCAATATAACACTTGATTACTGTACCTTTATAGTAAGTATTGAAATTAGTGCGAATTATCCAACGTTGTTTTTCATTTTTGAAATTGTTTTTGGCTATTCTAGTTCCTCTATTTTTCCATATAAATGTTAGTGTCAATTTCTACAATATATCCTGGTAGGATTTTGAATGGGATCACTTTAAGTTTGTAGATCAATTTGGGGAGAATTGTAACAATATTGAATCTATTAACATGGTATATCTCTCCATTCATTTAGGTCTTTTCTGTTTTGTAGTTTTCAGCATACATATCTTGCACATATTTCGTTTGCTTTATAGCTAAGTATTTCATACTTTTAGGTGCTATTAAAATAGTACTTTTTTAATTTCAATTTTCAATTGTTCGTTGCTAATATATCAAAACAATTGATATTTGTATATTGATCACATATCCTGTGATCTTGCTAAACTCACTTATTCTACCTTTTCTTTTTTGGTAGACTGGGATTTTCTACATCGACAGTCATATTGCCTGTGAATAGAGACAGTTTTATCTTTTAGTTTTCAATCTGTATGCCTAGTTTTTGTGTATGGTCTAAACTGCTATTTCACTTAGAATATTTGCTTCTGAGAGAAATATTTTAAGAAGATTAACTCCTTGCCAAATTGGCTTTCTGCATCGTTAAAAGGAGTTAGAGCCCAAAGGCCTGAGCCCAACCAGATAAGCTGCTTGGGTTGGGTTGTTTATACCTGTTCTTTCTTCAAATTCTCATTTCAAGATATGGTTCATCTTTCCTCACTGTTCATCCACTGACTTACTCTATCATCAAACTAGAGAATGGGCATGAATGTGTTTTGGATTTAAAGAATCAAAGAGGTCGTAATTACTACTAGAATTATTATCATGGTAATTGCCCAAGATCACCAGGTACTGATGTCATCTTGACACTTTTGAGTGATGGTTACTGAAGCTCTAGGGATTGGATTTACATGACGGATTTACTTCCAATCCACATTTAGGGCCAAGCTCTTCTTGGAGGGAATTAACTCCTGAAGATCAGTCATGTGATGGTTGCCCATATGTGAACCAAAGACTCATGTCACTTCCTTCCCCAATCCTACATGGACCTGAGCTGTTTGTTTCTTCTGCTCTGCTATGTGGGCAGTCTTTAGAATTTTCACCCTTCAAAGCTGTGCTACAAAAAGATGAGTAGGCCATTTTATACAGTGTTTGATTTTTGTGTCATGGTGACTTGTTATTTTCCTATTTTGAGTTGGTCAATGGGGATGATGTGTGGAGTATTTCATGTGGGCAAAGAACCGCCCTCCTATGTCTGCAGAATCATCACTATTGTCAGCGGTAAGGAGATTTGTCATAGCTCTTTGACTTAAGAGCCTTCATACTTCTTGCTGAGGAGATGGCCACCTGGTCCATGGGCTTAACTGGTACCTCCACTGCTACATTTCCAACACCCTAGTGTCCATCTCTCTTGCTGGAGTGTGCATGAGTCGCTAGTAGGGACTCTACCTTATATTCATAGCCCCAGGGCCTGACTCAGGGCTTAACTGATGTTATTGTCTGCATGAGATCTATAAATACACTTAGCATTCAGTCTGGCACAGTGGGAAGGCCAAGGACTCTGGCATCAGGTTTGGGTCTGAGCTCTGCTCCCCGTCCAAGTTACTTATTCTCTCAAAACCACATTCCCCCATCTGTAAAATGAGGATATTATCTACCTCATTAGTTATTGTAAAGTTCTTAGTTTATCATCTTATAGTACTAGATAAGTGGATATTATTAGAACTGTTACTTAATGGATATATTGTGTCATTTAATCCTAATGCACAAATTCTCCCCAACTCCGTTGCTTCCACTGGTTGAATTGGAGTTCAGGGGCTGTTGTCATACAATTTGGCCATCCCCAGTGCCATTAATGTGGCTGCCATTGCCAGTGAAGTGTCAATTAGATAATTAAGTGCTCATACTATTTAAGATGCCACAGTGGCTGATTGTAGTGGTACCTGCACAGGGTGGTGCCTGGGATCTGTGGGCTTCCTTGCTAGTATCAGCATCCAGGGTTTTATACTCAGCAGGATCTATGGGGAGTTCTAATCCGTACAAGCTGCCCCATGTCTGGAGGTCATAGCGGCAATCCAGAAGATGTATAAAGAATCCCTCCCCAAATTTCAAGGGATGTGTTCCAAACTTCCAAGCTACAACTCACTCTACATGTTTCAATAAAGTATTTCTTCATTTATTTTTCCTGGTATCCTCCATCCTATCTGAAGGCGCCAGCATTGTTAGCTTGACATATAATTTGGGGTTTTGGAAAATGCTATTGTTAATAACTGAATATGAATTTTATTTCTTATTTTTAAAACATCTCAAATTATAAGAAAAGCTGTGATTCCTATGAGTTTAGTCTTTAGTGTAAAAGTATGGCATATTCCTAATGCATGCATCTTGGTGTTCTTTTTTTTTTTCTTGTTTGTATTTTAAATTAGGAATGTTGATGATGTTCTGAAACTATTTGACATGGCCTCATTTTGAAGGTGGTCACATAGAGATCTGCTGTCTAAAGAAATTGCGGTTAATAGAATGTAATCTCTCAGTTGGAGAATAAGCTTGCAGCAATGCTTGTCTAGGGCCACATGTTCATAATATCTTTACTGGGTGTTGTTTATCTCCTTCTTGAACACAGTCTGTTCTTCATCAAAATAGGAACATGTCAATACGGTCACGATTTTATGGTGTGAGTGCACATACCCTATGTGTATATGTATATACATTCACGTCTTTATGTCTATGGGCAGTAAAACTAGTTGTTTTCTAGGAGTGGGTTGGTACTTTGATTGCTTTCATGTTTTTCTGTGTTTCAAAATTATCTGCAGTGATTAAATATAAAGGCAATAATTGTTGTACATAAAAATAGAAGGGCTTTTTAAGAATATCTTTCCTATGCTCTGGCCAGGAAAAAAATTTATCATATTATTTTGGCCGGATACTACCAGAATTGGGAAATTAAAGAGAGGGATTCTAAGGCTGGATTTCCCAGAAGAAGAATAGCTTCAAAGGTAGTTTACAAATTCACAGTTATATTAACTGAGCATGGAGAAAGAGTATATCACTTAACAGTGTTGTGGATTTTTATGCTTCTTTTTATAAACCAGATTGAAAAGGAAAACCAAGCCAGCCCCAAAGAAGAAGTGACCCAGAAGGAATTTCAAGTGAATGGACGGCCTCAGCTCCTGGATTCACTGCTTCTCGACCCACATGTCTTTGGGCAAGTTATCAGGCTTCGAATATGATGCTGGGGCAGACACCTGTGGAGGTGGCAACTACCAACACCCACAGTCCCCATGGCACGGGGGGCCACCAGGCATCCTGCCTAGAGGTGAGAGGGGCATCTCTGTGTGTTATGCTCCAGTCGGTGGGCCCCAGCAGTGCCCCTCAGGCTCCAGAACTCAGTGCACGGCTCTTTGATCTCACCTGCAGTCCTTTCTCCTCCAGGATGTGCACAGGCCTCCAGGGTCTTTGGATCAGGGTGGCTCAAGTGCCAGCCCATGTGTTGTCCTCCAACCTCTGTTCCCCTCCGTCCCTGGCATCCTGTTGCTAAGTCTGCCTTTTTTGATCCTTGATCTTGTTCTTTGTAATTAATCCTCTATCTGGGCTCTGCTCTTCCCCTGAGCCATTTGGTTTCCATTTGGCCTCCCTAATCAGTTTCCTGTACTTGCCCACAGTCAGAGGCACAGTCGGCTCTGGGAAGATCCAAGTTCTTTTCTGAGTAAGATATTAGGCTACCAAACACTCCAGAGATGCAAAGAAATTCCCAGAGAGGGTAGGAGTTGTCTAAATCCACATGTCAGTTGTAGCTAGACGTCTAGACAACTGTAGTCAGTTGTCTAGATTCACAGCCAATGTGCTGTGTCAGAAGCTGAGAGAAAAGGCAAGAAGTAGCTCTCTCCCACTCCCCAGTCCCCTGTCTCCAATCTCACACAGGGATTCGTGAATGTTTCCTCCTGGTCCCCCTGAGTGGAAGCAAATACTCTAAGGCACTGCCTTTGAGCCTTGTTCAATTCATCTGGATAGTCCCAACTCCAGAATTCATTGCTTTGCAAACTGTGTAACTTTGAGCAAGTTATATGGCCTCAATCATGATGCCCTCCACTCAGCCCCTCTCCTGAAGGAGTCCTGGAGACAGGGCTGCTAAGATGGGCCCTCTGTGAGGCAGTAAATGCTGCCCTCCCACCTCCCCACTTCACTATGTGGGCTGATGGCCCCAGGGCACTTTCACAGGACCAGAAAGGGTGCTCAGAGAGTTGCTATTTCTAGACCACAGCACCCCAGTTCCTGAGGAGGGCTGAGGCCTGGTCCCTCTGTGCTCTCCTGGCTGGGATCCTCCATATTTCCATCTGACACTGTGGTGGGATCAGGAAAAAATAGGAGAGGAGCTTGGCCTTGGGGGGAGAGGAGAATTTTGTGGAGAAGTGCATGAGGGGAGGTTAAGCAGTCTAAGTCTTCTCTCTCTGTGTAGGAGGCCATGCAGATGGGTGGGAGTCTGATCCCAATTATAATGGAGCAGGGTTGGCGGTTGACTTCTCATCTCTTCTCTCTATTTTGCTCCCAATATCTGTAGCCCTAGACTCTTGGGAAGAACTTTGGTCGCGAGTATGGGCTCTTGATCAGGGCCATAGGAACTAACACCCTCATTCCACCCTGGTTCCACCACACCATATACACATACACATGATGGAGGGGGGGCTGCCTCTGGGTTAAATGGAGGACCCTCAGATCGTCTTGCGCTCCTGTGGATTGGGGTATGTGTGTGTGTGTGTGTGTGTGTGTGTGTGTGTGTGTGTGTGTTGGGGAACTTGGTTTTGGGAGGAAATCTTTGGGTTTTTCTCATTTCCTCTCCCAGGCACAAATACTGGAGAACTCCTCCAAGTCCCATGTCGGTTCCATGCCCCCTGAGGACCCTGGCCACTGAAGCTGATCGTGAGACCGCACTCTATCACACTCCCTTTCGGGGCCTGCCCTTGACTTAGGGTTCCCCTGTATGGCCAGCAGTCATCTTGTAAGATCCCTTCTTGGGCTACTTTTCCTACTCAGCTCAGAGTTGGAGGATGAAAGGAGAGGGGTTGGAGTGGATCTATCTGTCTTCAGGGTCCAGCAAGGTCGATTCCAGAAGCTGTCCCAGCTTGTATTAAGCCCAAGCTTGGCTGATTTGCGTGTTGGCTCCTAAAGCAGGGATTGAAGGATACAAGATGCAGGCCATAGGTACTTCTCTCTCTCCTCCCCACCTCCTCCAACACTTCTACTTAGGAGGCCCATGGAGGGGAGGTAGAGCCAGGCACCAGCCGGTAAGGGTACAAGGCTCATTGTTCTTCGGGACTTGGTCCACTCTGTTTGTGACTCAGAAGCCCTTTCACTATCCAGCAAGACCACACTTTCTTGCCTTCTTTCTATTCTTTCCTTTGTACATGTAAACAGGATGCTGTCATATCTACCCAGGGCTTGTGCCCATCTTGGGCTCTGTTCTTGTTCATTCTGCCTGTGCTGATCCAGCCCAAGAGGTCTGCACTGGTGCCTTCAGCTCAAACATTATCTCAGAGAACCTTCCCTTGGAAACTCAGTGTGGTTTCCATATTTACTCTCTAGCCTATCACTCTAGTTTGTTTGTCTTCACGGCACTTATCACCTTCTGGAATGATATGGTTCATACCTTTACTTGTTTATTGCTTGGCTCCCCTTCCCCTCCTAATGTAAACTCCAGGATTGCCGACACCTGTTTACTGCTACATCCTCGGTTCCCAGCACCAGTAAGAAATCAATAAATACTTGTCGACTGAATGGATGTTTGTTTGTTGTTTCTTTATAGGAATAATTTTTCAAAAGTTTAAATACTTTTGAGAAGTCAAAAGTATCTACCATATTTAGCAACAAGGAATTGTTGGTGACCTTGTAGGGCACCTTCTGTGTGGAGTAAATGAGAGGTGAGGAACATGAATTCATGAAGGGAGATGCAACTCCGTCAACTAAGCTTGAGCATGAAGGGAAGCAGAAGACAGCAATAGCTGGAATGTTCCAGGAACTCAGGAGACACTTGAGCGTGGTGAATGCTGCTGGGAAGAAGGCAGCAGAGTGGGTGTATGACAAAGGAGGAGGAGATAATTGATGGAGTCAAGAACTGAGGAGGTGGGAGGGGGGAATCCAGGGCACAGGTGAGGTGATCAGGCACTGAGCAGGGGTCCTTTTTCATTGGAAAAAAGTGAAGGAGGAAAGGAGCACGTAGATTTTGCAGGGTCAGTGGCAGGAGCTTGAGCCAATTCCTGTCTGTAGCTTTGATTTTCTCCTGAAGTAGAAGATGAATTGGTGTGTTCACAGTGGGGCGGGGGGGGGGGGGGTGGTGTTGGGAGTCAGAGATATGAGGACGATGAAGAGGATTGTAAAGAAATCACTTCATCCTAGGTCTTTGAAATCTTTAAAAAAACCCTTTCTCCAGGGGCCGGCCCCGTGGCGTGGCAGTTGAGTGCACGCGCTCTGCTGCTGGCGGCCCAGGTTCGGATCACGGGTGGGCACCGAGGCGCTGCTTGTCGGGCCACGCTCTGGCGGGGTCCCATATAAAGTGAAGGAAAATAGGCAGAGATGTTAGCTCAGGGCCAGTCTTCCTCAGCAGAAAGAGGAGGATTGGCATGGATGTTAGCTCAGGGCTGGTCTTCCTCGAAAAAAAAAAAAAAAAAAAAACAACCAAAAAAAACCTTTCTCCAGATGAATTTAATTAATTAATTAATCTACAATTCAAGGCACCATTTTGCCACTAAGTCCTTGCCTACAACTTCATATTTAGATGTAAATCCCATATCTAAACTTGAGACCCATAGGGTCTCAGACTGAAGATGAAAGAGCTGGAGAAAGAAAGGCAGAGTCTGATCATCCCAAGAAATAAAGAATCACAAGGAAGTTTTCAATATGGGAAAATTCTGACAGATTTTTGCAAAATTCTGCAAAAATTCTGACAGATCACAGCAAGATGGGGCTGTGCTATGAATGTCCATCTGGGCTACTATTCTAACACCAGAGAAATGTGGAAACTCAAGCCTGGAATGGACCTGGGAGGGCTTCTTGCCTGACTCTGTGGCACACGTCTCTGTCCCATTAATAACACCATTAGCAGGTACTTATTATCTCTGCTTACATAAAATGAAGTGTTCTTAATGGACAAAGATGATTCTGTTGATCCAACTTTAGGATGTACAGTTGTAATTTGGAGAGGTTTTGCATACTCACTCTTATTTGTAGCACAGGTACGTGCTTTCAGGAATGTTGGTTTCTAAAGATAGTGATAAAAATAACTTTTTTGTATTGAGCATCAACTATGCATCCATCCTGTACCACAGGGTGTTTTGCATTTGTAAATGGAAGATGTTGGTCATGGCCCCCATGGCCACTAGAACCATGACCTTGACCTTATTGCCATCATGCTGCAACCTAGAAGTTTCCAATTGGAGCTTGATGGAGCCCTGAGATACTTGGAGATGCAGCTTATGTGATGAGAGGGAGGTGGAGCCAACAGGGCTCCTGGCCACATCTCCACATTGACAAAGATAGCTTTTAGGGTCTATGTCAACTTCTAATTTTATGTAGCTAAACGGTTCCACTGGGGTGACAGAGTCTGACAATCTTCACTTTCATGACTGTAAGCAAATATTGATAGAATACTTAACGTTAGTGATTCTCTAAATGATTTATTGAGTTGAGTGTACTGTTTGGCATTACATCATAGGTTTGGGTTTAGTTGACTGGTATTTCAGTGACTCCTTATTTCCTCTTAGGCAACAATTCACCTACCACCAAGTTGAGTGTTTTGACTTTTGATCAACTCACTAGGTTTATGCAAAGTATGGGCGAGCAAAAGAGCATAGATTAACAAACAGTCCTGATAATTATACCTATACTTTTACTTTTAAACAAATTTATGTACAAGTATTACATTCAACATGGTACTAAAAATCCATTTTTGTTGCACATGCTACATTATCTACATAGACTACTTTAATAATACAAAAAATAGGTTTGAGCAGAGTGGAGAAAATGGGAGGCTACAGCTTAAGGGGTGGTCTTACTTCATAGCAAATCAAATATCTATCAGATTTGAATCATTTGGCTCAAAAAGATCTCTTAACAATAAAACTAAGTTCTAAAAAAGTGTTAAATCTCATCACTAAAGTAACATTGACATTGGATTTTGAAGCACATGAACTGTCCTGAGAGTCCATTCACGACCTGAGCCTGGAAGCCTGTGGGATCCATTGGTAGTATCTGGAGAGGCTAGTGGGTTCCTCTCTAGAACCCAAAGGCTGTAAGTATTTTGTAGAGACAAAGGTAGATAATCTCACGTAATTAGGGTCCAACAAGAAGGTACTTTTTTATGGCAAGAGGGTCTAAGTTTCCAAAGGTTCTTTTATCCAGAAGATGTAAGCTCACCAGGAAGAAAGGGTGGGAAAGAGTGTCCAGGTCCACGACTGAGACGGTGGCTGATGGCAGTGAAAGTCTTTTCTGTGGTGAGTTAGTGACAGATATTCCCAATAAAGATAGGAAGTTATCAGCATCAGCATTCACCAAATCAGGCCTTGCTGCAGAAAGTGCGAGCTTTTGGGCCATTCTTTATTAATGAAGCCACACTAAGGTCCATATTAGAGGCAGATATTTTATCAGATATTGGCCCAGGTGGTGGTCCATGCACAGCCTCATGTCGACCTCCAGGCAAATCTATTTGATTAATGATGAAATGTAGATGTCACTATTGTGTCCACCATTAAAGAGGGTTGGATAGTCTGTCCTTCAGAAAGTGTGGGACCCAATAGACATTCTGGCAACTTTGCCTCAATCAAATCATGTTTGCATACAGATCAGAAGGTAAAGTTTTTCCTCACACCTCATATGTCCTTCTAACTAGGTTCAAACCCGTTCACAACTAACTCACTTCTAGGCATATCAAGAAAAGGTGCAGGGGGCTGGCCCCGTGGCTTAGCAGTTAAGTGTGCACACTCCACTACTGGTGGCCCGGGTTCGGATCCGGGTGCGCACCTACGCACTGCTTGTCAGGCCATGCTGAGATGGCGTCCCACATACAGCAACTAGAAGGATGTGCAACTATGACATACAACTATCTACTGGGGCTTTGGGGAGGAAAAGGGAAAAAAAGGAGGAGGATTGGCAATAGATGTTAGCTCAGGGCTGGCCTTCCTCAGCAAAAAGAGGAGGATTGGCATGGATGTTAGCTCAGTGCTGAACTTCCTCACAAAAAAAAAAAAAAAAAAAGTGCATGGTACACTGGAGAGTAGAGTGTCCCTCACTCACCGGAAGTATCCTGTGGGAGCCAGCCTGGTCTCTAGGACCTCTGATTGATGGGAGTTATTTAATATATCTCCCTAGATTTGGTTTTATTTCTGAGATCTCTGAAGTACACAAATCTTTGGGTTTGTTGCCTGCAATTTCTGTCTCAGGAAGGCAGCATCTCTCTTCTCTATAGGAAGAAATCTTGATGCATCAAAAAGCAAAGCCCTGGTGTCCTGGGCATTTTTCCCCCCACATAGTGATCCAGCAGATTTTTACATAATCTGTTTTCACTTTAATTCACCCTCCATTTCTTAAATTCTCTGTGAACATCCTTTTCTGCAGCTGAAAGCTTCTGTTCTTTCTCTTCTGGCTTGTAAGCTTTCTGAGTCAGATCCTTTAATAGAGGCGTAGTGTTCTGCTGATGGAGATCGTTAAGGATCTCCACTGCCAGATGCAAGATTTTGCATTTATTTTCCACTAGAGCTTTGGCTGCAAGCAGTAAGAAAAGAATCATTTTCCAACTTTTTTTTTTTTTTTCCAGCTGATGCCTTGCTAACACCTCATTATTGGGCTTGGATTGTAAATGATGTCTGTTTTCTTCAACTCTCATTAATGTGGATTTTGGTACCATCTGACTTCCCCGACTTTTCATCTTCTTACTATAGTAATCTGCCAACTAACTCTTTATTTTTAAAATGATCCTGTCCATTTCCTTCCTTATGATTTTTCTCCAAAGATCAAGATTAAGTGGTTTCGGCTACATAGCGTATTTTTTCAGAACTTCAACCCCATTATTTTTTCTAAGCCACAGCTTCTTTCTGAGACCTGTGATCTTATCTGATTCGCTCACCCATCTCAGTAGATAGGGATGGGAGGGCAGGAACAGTGAGGGGCAGGAGATCACAGCCTCCTCCCCACTCCAGGCTCCCATGTGCCCCCTCCAATTGCCACCCTTTCTTCTTCTTCCAACTCCTGTCTTCCTTCCATCTCTTTCCCTCACTTATCTGTTTTTCTACAACTTAAATTTACAAAAGATCTTGGTTTTTAGATTTCTAGCAGAGCTACATACAAGCTTTCTACATTTTTGTTGCTTGGGCTTCACACCATCTTCACTGCCTTCTCCAGATCTTGTTACCAGGTGCTAATTGAGATTCTGCCCAAACCAGCACCACTTTGACTCACGGAGGTCCCCACCGTTAGGTGACCAAGAATGGCCCCTGGTAGGGGTGCTGACCCACAGCCAGAGGCATTCTGACTCCAGGTCTCTCTTATCCCAGTTTTCTTCTCTTCCCCAAATGGCCTGATGCCAAGGCGCCATCATGCCTTACAGATGTGCTCACCTGAATTAGGATGGTTATGTCATTGCTGAATCTACTTCCTTAACTTGCCTTCACCTATAGTTTTAATTTGCTGTTACTTGCATTGTCTCAAGTATCCAAAAGTCCTCAGCCAAACGCTTGAACCCAGCTTCTCATGTGATGGCTTCTTTTTCTTCTGGTGTAAGTTTCCTTTCAGTGAGCTCTTGGGGTCCTAATAAAAGAATCTCTGGAGTCCAAAGTGTGTGTGTGTGTGTGTGAGAGAGAGAGAGAGAGAGAGAGACAGAGACAGAGAGAGACAGAGAGAGGCAGAGACAGAGAGAAAATGAATCTTCCCTTTTTGTGGCTTCTTTCCTTCTGCTGCTTCATGTGCTCTGGGAGAGGTGGGTTCCTCCCTTCCATTCCTTGTCTTCCTCTTGTTCAAAATCATATACAGACAGGAGGTACAGGCTTCTGGTAGGGGTAAACCTTGTGATGCTCCTTACCCATACAGAAGGAGGTTTGGTTGGCATGTCATTCCAAATTCCTCTCTTCCGACTTGTGAAACTTAAATTGCTGTGAAAATGAAAGAGCCTTAGTGTGTACATATATCACCCAACAAAGCTTTATAAAGCTGCTTCTAAAGGCAGCTCTTTTCTGAACATTTTAGACCCACACTGGGATGTAACTGGTTTAGAACAATGTTATATAATAACCTTCTCATACAGTTCTGAAATTCTGTGATTTAAATGGACTATGTTGTCTTTAGTTTGAATAAAGAGAACATAGATGTACAACCCAAGGACATTCAGAGCCACTTGGTTTCTGTGCTTGTGGTGGGAGTCTACACAAATTGAGTTGCTCTATTTCCTGAGCTAGAAAGTTGCTGAAAGGTGGGGCCCATCAAAATTCATCTACTAATGGGCAATGCTTTTACTTAGTGCTTTTTTTGGTTGCCTTTGTCTCTCATCTTGCCCAGTAGTTGGGCTACATGTTTCCAGTCCACATACCTCACCTGCCCTCTTCCACTTCTGTGTCTCCAGGTAGTTAAAAGATGAGCTCTGACTAGAACCACTTAAATTGCCTCTCTCTCTCTTTTCTTCAAAATGCTTCCTCTCACGACTCTCAGATGCAAGGAACCGAAACAAAGAGGATGCATCTCCAAAGCATGGAGAGGGCAGGGCTGAAAGTGTCCATAGCTCTTTCTGTATTTCTTTGTTTATATGCCTACTCTTTGGATCATTCATGTGACCAGAGGGTATGTGGTTCTAGGATTTGCCCGGCTTCAGTCACCTACCCACCCCTTTGGTCAAGGAGCAGTGTCTATTTCTGAAGAAGATGGGGGAAACCAATCAAGGATGCACAGATACAACCACTAGGAGAATAATATAGAATTCTGGTTTGACAGGTTTTTTTCCCCAACAGCATTTTGAAGATATCATCCTATTGTCTTCTGACCTCTATAATTGCCAATGAAAAATCTGCTGTCAGTGTACTTGTCCCTCCATTGTAAGTAAATTATATTTTCCCTTTGGTTTCTTTCAACATTTTTCTCTTTGTCTGTGGTGTTTTGAAGTTTCACTATGATATCACTAAGTACGGATTTATTTTTATTTATTTTACTCAGGATTCAAGTTTCTTCAATCTGAAGAAAAATATCTTTCTTCAGGGATGTGCAAAAAAAAGATTTCATTGTACAACCATCAAAATGGCAAAAATTAAAAATGATCAAGTGTTGGCAAGGATATGGGGAAAATTCTCAAAAGCTACTGATGGAAATTTATAAACTATTACAATACCTTTGGGATGAAATCTGGGGATACACGCAAAGCTGGATATTGTATAACCTATGATCAAGTAATTATGATTTTAGGCACCAATACTAAAGAAAACTTGAATTCATTGAAAAAAGAGATACATATAAGTATGTTCAGTGAAGCACTGTTTGCGATTGGAAAAAAGAGAGAGAGAGAGAGAAAGGAATTAATCAAAATGTCCACCAATAGGAGAATGAGTGAATCAGTAAATGTATATTCATAAATAGAATCCTAAACAGCAATTAGAACACATGAATCAGGTACACTCACATCAGGTAGATACATTTGGAAAACGAAATGAGGAATATAAAAAGCAAATAGTAGATGGTAAATGCAATGTGATGCCCTGTGCATAGATTTTAATAGCCCACAATACTATAATTGCCCAATAAGCAGAAACCATAAGATCTCACACTCACCCTATGATGTGATAGAATAAAAAAAAATGACAACAAAATAAAAGGCTATCCAAGATATATCTGTCCTCTTGGAAATCAAAAATATTTGAAATATTCCAGGTTTGAAGAAACAACTGAAATTAAAAGCTATGTGGAAATGGTCAGCAATTTTAGTCATACACAAACGTTTTTGGAGAGATAAGTGGGAGGCTGATGATACGCCTGGGGTCTCTCCAAGGTTACAAGTCTTAGAAAACGAAAACACTTGTTCTGAGTCAATTTTGGATCTGGGTTGTACTGTGGCTTCTGCAGGTTTCTGACGTGGGGAAGGGGGGAAGAGTTAGAATACACCCCTCCCTCACAAACTTCCTGTAGTAATAGGTAGAAAAACACAGTAGAAGATAATAGAATGTTGTAGAATGTGGAGGGATGTAAAATGGCAGTGTTAGGTAGAGGGAACTCGGAATGAAGGAGAGAGGGGGCATCTGGAGCAGTCTTGTGCTGGGAGCTGGCATGGCCAACCACAGGCAGATGCCCCAACAAGGCAAGGTTCTGTGTCCTTGAGTGAGCACAGCCAGACCCAGCCAAGTTTAAGGGGCAAGTAAAATATGGGGCAATGCCAGAGGTAGATCTGTTCAAGGTGTGGGGCTGGGATGAGAGGAAATGCCAGAGGGTAGGGAGGAAGAGTGGGAGACTCAGATGAGATTTAGCTCAGAACACCACACTTCCAGAAGGAGAAATCAGGCCAAGTACTGTTCCAGGACAGCTGGAAGGCAAGGCCAGAGTGTCCTGGCTTCCTCACTTGGGGAGGCCACTTATCTGTGGAAGTGGCAATAAAAAGGCAGGGGAATTGAACTCCACAGAGCTTTCAGGTAGAAATGTTTCTCCTGCCTCAATTCAGGTGCTAAATGAACAACAAAATGAGAACCTCTACTATGAACAGTTTCCAATGATGAGATATCTGAGGCCATTACATTCCTGGGAATAGCACCAGGGGTGCCATGACAGACTACTAGAAAGAAAAAATTAGTAGGCCAGCCCCTCTCAGACCCAATAAGGAAGCTCAATATTCCTTCAGCCCATTTTAGATTTTAGCAAAGCCAGATCCCATACTCAGAGCTCGCTAAGCTCTATCCTCCATATCATCCAGAAAATACAGTTACTACAGAGTGCACAATTGGGGAGGAGAAAGCATAGTGTGTATTAATTCATGTAAAAAATTGGATATTAGCACAGAAGTGTTAATAAACAGAAATTCCTGAATTCTTTATGTTCGTCTGTTGTGGAAATAAAACCCTTTGGGAATAGATCAAAAATATACGGAAATTACTTGAAACTGGTGGACAACTAAATGTAATGTGCCTTGGATATTATTACTAAAATGTACTATAATTCAATTGTATTTTTTGTCTTTTAAGGGTTGGTTCTGGGGAGCATTATGCAGTGAATATTGCAGAAGTTATATAAAGCTCCAAAAGCTATTCTGTGTAAATTTCATGAGTGTGAATTCTCAACTATGATGTTTGGCATATTACTCTGATAATTCTGGATGTTAATTGATTTTATGTTCTGACATTTTGACTGATTTTGGGAAAACTGAGACATGTACCCAGACTTGTTCTGTAAATGCTTAACAACTGGCTCCCTAGGTGAAAAGTCCTGATTTACGGTCTTTGCCAATTTCCCCGGTGTAAATATTTCCACTATGGCTGAGTGCAAGCTATGAATGTGATGTCACTGAACTCAGAATTGGGAAGAAATGTGCACAGTCGTCTATTGTGAGTCAATACAGACCATTGTATGTACCCACGGGCTTCTGTGAAACTACAGTTTTTACCAAAATTCTGCTCCATAAATATACAAAGGCCTAGTGAAAGAAAAAATATCAAGGGAAAACAAAATAAATTCAAATTGGGGAGCTCAGATGAAGAAAATTGACAGATTTGTTTTTGAAACTTTGAGAAACGGCATTTGTCTATAATCTGCATTTTATTAAAGGAACAAGATATCTATGTATCATGTTGAGTGTTCCGAACTCTTAGTTTCTTTGGTGTTCCCCTAGACGGAGGCGGGGGCTTCTTTCCTTTCAGATATTCATGCTAAGGCAATGCTGACCGAAGGATCGATGGGACCTGCACACTGTGAAGCCAGTTTCAGGATGGCTGATCTTAGAGTCAACAAAGAGGAAAAGATAAGGAGCCTTCTGAGTTTTGGGAGGCAACACTGAAATTTAGAGCCGTGATTTGGTATGATAATGTATAGTTTTTTAAATTAACATTAATGAAAAGAAGAAAAATTAGCTGTTCAAAAATTGAAAAAATGGATTAATAAACTCTTCTATTAGAGTAAGGCAAGAAGAACTTATTAAAATAGAGGTGGGGAGCCGCCGGTGGCGCAAGCGGTTAAGTGCGCGTGCTCCGCTGCAGCGGCCCTGGGTTCGTCGATTTGGGTCCTGGGCACGCACCGATGCACCACTTGTCAAACCATGCTGTGGCAGCGTCCCATATAAAGTGGAGGAAGATGGGCATGGATGTTAGCCCAGGGCCAGTCTTACTCAGCAAAAAGAGGAGAATTGGCAGATGTTAGCTCAGGGCGGATCTTCCTCACACACACACAAAAAAAGATACATCTGAAAATAAAGTCCCCACTGAGAAGGATATAACTGTGTAGGATCAATACATTTGGC